GAGTGTGCTCTTGGCACGGACGTCCTAGAGGACAGGCAGGAGGAGTTACAGTGTCTAGCGGCTGCTTCACCTCATCTCGCGTCTGTACTGCTTGCCCCTGAGGGAGACCCGGATGCACTAGACATCCCGACTCCGCGTTCTTACGCGGAGGCCGTAGAGGGTCCCTACTCCTCTCAGTGGCAGGCAGCTATGGATGCAGAGATGGCTTCCTGGAAGTCCACAGGCACCTACGTTGACGCGGTTCCCCCTCCTGGGGCGAACATCGTCAGTGGCATGTGGATCTTCAGGGTGAAGCGGCCGCCAGGCTCTCCACCTGTCTTCAAGGCACGGTACGTTGCTCGTGGCTTCAGTCAGCGGCAGGGAGTTGACTACTTTCAGACCTTCTCTCCCACCCCGAAGATGACTACTCTTCGGGTGCTGCTGCACATAGCCGCTCAGCGCGACTACGAGCTTCACTCTCTCGACTTCAGCACTGCGTTCTTACAGGGTAGCCTGCACGAGGAGATCTGGCTTCGCCGTCCACCTGGCTTCACTGGGACTTTCCCTCCTGGCACCCAGTGGAGCCTCCGACGGCCAGTCTACGGCCAGACACTGCTGGACTCGCCTACGTGAAGTCCGAGCTGTTGAAGAGACACACGTGCACAGACCTGGGTGAACTGCGCAGCTACCTTGGCTTGCAGATCACTCGGGACAGAGCACGCCGCACCATTACCTTGACTCAGTCACACATGGTGCAGCAGGTCCTTCAGCGCTTCGGCTTCACGTACTCCTCGCCTCAGGCCACTCCTCTGCCTACTCGCCACTCACTCTCAGCTCTGCCTTCGGATGAGTCCGTAGAGTCGAGTGGTCCGTATGCGGAGCTTGTTGGCTGCCTCATGTACCTGATGACCTGCACACGACCTGACCTTGCATACCCTCTGAGCATTCTTGCACGCTATGTTGCTCCTGGGAGACACAGACCGGAGCACATGGCTGCAGCGAAGAGGGTATTGCGCTACCTGTGCAGTACGTCAGGCATGGGGCTAGTGCTTGGAGGGCGGAGTCCAGTGGTCCTTACCGGCCACGCGGACGCTTCTTGGGCTGACGACCAGGCTACGCAGCGGTCGTCACAGGGTTACACCTTCAGCCTTGGTTCCGGCTCTGTCTCGTGGCGGTCTACTCGCTCGTCTTCGGTTCTCGGCTCCAGTTGTGAGGCTGAGATCTACGCCGGGGCCATGGCTGCACAGGAGCTTCGCTGGCTCACCTACCTGCTGACTGACCTTGGAGAGCCGCCTCGTTCTCCTCCAGTGCTGTACGTAGACAACAAGGCTATGCTGGCCTTGTGTCGAGAGCAGCGCTTGGAGCACAGAACGAAGCACATTGCTCTCCGCTACTTCCTTGCTCGTGAGCTGCAGCAGCGTGGTCAGTTGCGACTTGCGTACGTGGCCTCTGAGGCCAACACTGCTGATGTGTTCACCAAGGCACTTGCGCCTTGTGACCATCAGCGCTTCTGCACCCAGCTGGGTCTTGTGCCTGTCTTGCCTCACTTGCTCTCCTCTTGACTTCACTTGTACTGTGACATATATATATACCTGCTCTTGCTTGTCTAGCTTTATATATATGTCTGTACTCTTGCTTGTGAACTGGCCTTTGGCCTTGCTCTTGTGCTCGGACTGTGTGGTGACTTTGTGATCCACCCTGAGCTTTGCTTTGTCTTGCTTGACTGGTCTTGTGACCCCTTGTTCTCCCCCACTTTGCCTATGGGGGTGTGTCAGAACATATCTATAGCTTATACTGCTGTGTAGGCTGTAGTGGGGTATCCCATAGGGGGTACAACCCAGTTAGGGTTTCATATTTGTACTACTTTCATTCATAGTTCATTCATTCCTGTTTTCCTATCTTCACACTCTTGTACTGGCTAAAGTGTGCACGCTCAGTGGTCGGTAAGTGGCGGCGCACAGCAAGGCGAGCAGCAGCATCACGTGTGGCCCACTGTGAGCTAATAGTGGCGTCAGCATCAGCAGCAGGGGCAGGGGAGGCACCAGAAGTGAGGTCAAACAGGGAGAGGCCGTCTGCCCTATTGCACTGCAGGAAAAGCTGCAGATCATCTACCCAGACCTCAAAGTCCACTGCCCTACCCTCAGCGTCAAAGGTGAGAACGCTAGGGGAAGCCATAATAGCAGGAGGCAGGGCAGTGCAATGGCAGAGACTGTGCTCTTACCAGGTAGGTGGAGCGATCGGGCTGCTCGACGGCTCGGCTGTCGGGCGACTCGGCTGCAGGGCGGCTCGGCTGCTGGGCGGCTCGGCTGCTGGGCGGCTCGGCTGCTGGTGCTGGGCGGCTCGGCTGTCGAGCGGCTCGGCTGCTGGGCGGCTCGGCTGCTGGGCGGCTCGGCTGCACGGTGCTGGGCGGCTCGGCTGTCGGGCGGCTCGGCTGCTGGGCGGCTCGGGAGGTCGGGCGGCTCAAGTGGCCGGCGGTTCGGCTGCTCGGCGTTGCGGGTGCTGGGAGGCGGGGTCGCAGGTGGTGGCGAGGTCGCAGGTGGCGGCGGGCCGTAAGGGTGGGTGGGGCTGCGGTGGCGACGGGGCCGAAGTGGGGCCTAAGTGGGGCCGTAGAGGGGCCAACGGGGCCGAAGTGGGGCCGTAGCGGGGCCGCAGCGGGGCCTAAGCGGGGCCGAAGCGGGGCCGTAGCGGGGCCTAAGCGAGACCGTAGCGGGGCCGTAGCGGGGCCGTAGAGGGGCCGACGGGGCCGACGGGGCCGTAGCGAGGCCGTAGCGGGGCCTAAACGGGGCCGACGGGGCCGTAGCGGGGCCGTAGCGGGGCCGACGGGGCCGAAGCGGGGCCATAGCGGGGCCTAAGCGAGGCCGTAGCGGGGCCGTAGCGGGGCCGACGGGGCCGACGGGGCCGTAGCGGGGCCTAAACGGGGCCGTAGCGGGGCCGACGGGGCCTAAGCGGGGCCGTAGCGGGGCCGACGGGGCCGTAGCGGGGCCGACGGGGCCGTAGCGGGGCCGTAGTGGGGCCGTAGCGGGGCCGTAGCGGGGCCGACGGGGCCGTAGCGGGGCCGTAGCGGGGCCATAGCGGGGCCGTAGCGGGGCTGTAGCGGGGCCGACGGGGCCTAAGCGGGGCCGTAGCGGGGCCGACGGGGCCGTAGCGGGGCCGTAGCGGGGCCGTAGCGGCCTAAGTGAGGCCGTAGAGGGCGGCTCGAGTGGCAGTAAGGGCGGCCAATAGGGGCCACTAAGGCGGCTCGAGGCGCTACTCGGGTTAGGAGCTAAGCGCGCTCCGGGCAGGGAAGGAAAAAAAAAGTTCGTGGTGGGCCCTAGGCAGGGTTCCCACTCGGGAACCTGCTCTGATACCATGACGAGAAGTGAGAATGGAATGGATGAACTATGAAACAGTTGGGTACAAGTACTAACCCTAATTGGGTTGTACCTTTTATGGACTACCCCACTACAGCCTACACAAATGTATAAGCTATAATGTTCTGACATGTACCGACTCACGAAGGGTACCAACTACATCCTGCTGATCGTCTACGTAGACGACCTACTCTACATCGGCTCCACTGACGACATCACCACCTGGTTCGAAGGGGAGTTACAAAGGGACCTCACACTCACGGTCTCCTCTACCGTCACACAGTACCTCGGCTTGAACATTCGAGAGGAAGAAGACGCGATCTACCTCAACGCCACTAAGTACGCCGACACCATCGCCAAACGCTTCGCGCTCACGCCTACCACCATCTCTACGCCCTACCGCTACGCGACAGGAAACCACGAGGAAGGATCTACTCTACTCAAATCCGCCGGGATACGCGACTACCAGAGAAAGCTAGGATGCCTTCTCTTCGCAGCTGTTACCTGCCGCCCCGACCTCTCATACTCCGCAAGCCAGCTCGCCACTCATCTCAAGAGGCCTGAAGCAAAACACATGGCCGGACTCGACCGTGCTCTACACTATCTCGTCAGTACGCCAACGATCGGCTTAACATATCACAAGAACGCGACCACGCCACCTTAGCTAATTGGTTACGTTGATGCAGATCATGCGGGCGACTCCTACAACAGACGATCACGCACCGGCTACATCTATCGCTTCGAGCCTATCGGGCCTATCTCCTGGCAATCGAGCAAGCAGGAAGTAATTGCTCTCTCGTCAGCTGAAGCAGAATATATTGCACTCTGCTCAGCCACCAAGGAAGGACTCTATCTTTGCGAGCTGCTGGAAGAAGCGAAGTTAGCCGAGTTACCCAACTTTACCCTGTTCTGCGACAACCGGTCGGCAATTCGCATCGCCAACAAGAACGGTTTTGCGAACAGGACGAAACACATCGCCCTGCGATACTTCTTCGTGAAGGACGAGATCGAGAAGGGAAGGCTCGAGCTGTCATACTGCCCCACGTCCGAAATGGCAGCTGACTACCTGACCAAGAAGCTCGGAAAGCAGAAATTCGAATATTGCATGCTGCTGACTGGACAGAGCCACGTCAGCGACACTCCAGAAGTGAAGGGGAGTGTTGGAAACAATCGGTCCTAAGCGCCTCTGTCGTGTCGAAACACTAAGGCACAAGAGAAGCGAAGCATACCGAAGCACCGGCGAGTCAGCCCTTGGAGGTTGAAGCAACTGCTGCTGCTGCTGCTGCTGCTGCTGCTGGGGCACGAGCCCGTTTTGTTTCTCTTTCAATTGGTTCACTCTGTGCAAACGGGGACAGCTGCAAGTGCCACGGGTTTACCGGGCTAGTGGGAAGGTTTGGGGAAAAGGTGGGACCAAACTTGGGACCAAAGGTGTTTTGTTTTAGAAAAATGAATGCGCTTCTATTCAAGTGCTTGAATGGGCTGGAAATCGTCCCCTCTTCTCCTTCCCCCTTCCCCACATTGCGAGGAAGTGAGCGTTTCAATCAAAAGCCTGAACGACGGACGGGGTCCGGTGGGGTGGAACGGTTTGAGTTGGAGTGCCTATAAAAAGGCCTTCTCTCCTTCTCCTTCCCCCTTCCCCACATTGCCAGGAAGTCTGGATGTGGGGCGGGTTCAGGTAAGGGGGGAGTGTGGGGGTGGGAGGGAGGGGGAGAGGCAAAAAAAACGGTTGGGGGAGGGAGAGGGGGGTAGCACACCCTTCCGTCCCAGCATGCCCCTGTTAGAGGGATCCGCGAATCTCCCACCAACCACACCCCAGCCGTCCCAACCACTCACCCTGACAGCTGCTGTCGCTGCTGCCCCAGCCACTCCTCGCCCCCATCCCTGTGAAGGGAGAGGGCTCGACCTTCAGTCCCAACATGCCCCTCTTAGAGGGGCGTTGAGAGCAACACTTCAGCCTCATCACACCGATCACTCACCCTTGCAGCTGCTGTCGCTGCTTCCCCACCCACTCGCCCATTCCTGTGAAGGGGGACGGTTCGACCTTGACGCCCAGCATGCCCTGCTTGGAGGGGTCCACCACGAGAAACACATTGCCCATGAAGGCCGGCCCACTGCCCACCCGCTGCTGCTGGTCCGTGGGGAGGAGGGATGGGAGCGGTGGCATGGGCATGGGGGAAGGGCGCGGGCGGGGTGGAGAGGAGGGTGGGGGGGAAGAGGAGGAGGGTGGGGGGGAACAGGAGGAGGAGGAGGAGGACGACGAGGAAAGAGAGGAAGAGGAGGAAGAAAGAGAGGAAGAGAGTGGGGCGGACAGCCGCAGTGTAAACCCCTCTTGAATCTCCTGAATCTGCCAACTGGCCCCTGAATCTCCTCCCACCCCCACTCCCATTCCTTGCAGCACGACCTTAGCAGCACTACCACACCTGTGTGCTGCTGCGGGCAGCTTTTCGGGCACCTTGAAACTTTCAAACCGACTTAGAATTCCTCGCTGCACGACCGGTGCAGCAGTATCGCCGCCAGCACCCGCTGGTGCAGGCAGCAGTGCATTCGACCAGAGCAGGCGAGCAGGCTCGGAAGGCTGGATCAGGTTCGGTGAATGTGTGTGGATCAGGGGTTTGCACGGTCGGGGTTTCACATCGCCTAGCCATTTCACCGTTTTCGCCAGCGGCTGTCGCAAGGCCAGAGCGATCCCACCCACCAATCCTGGAAACGCGAGCAGCCCTGAACGAGCTAACGGTCCAGCTAGTAACGCGTCTGGTTGACCCAGCGGCCGTTGCCATCCCCATGTACGGTGATGCGGTCGAGAAAAAATGCGTTGTGAACCGTCGGATTGAGATATCACACTGAGATGCTGATCTGCTAATGCCGTCCGTTGGTTCGTCTGATCCTGAGACCTACTAGCACCGTTCTTAGTCTGCTTGAGGCGGCTCCTGCGTGGCGAAGGCTTCACGATCACGCGGTATTGCTGCTGCGACGGGCTGCTAAGACAACTTCCTGAGGAATCGCGAGGCCCGGTGGTGAGGAGGTAGATGTGGAGGCTGTCGTGCGTGTCGCTGGTAACCACTTTCGCGAACTCGGCGTGTTCGTTAGCATTGCAGATTTTGCCATCGCCGCCTGGTACGTGGACATCCTGCATGTTCGCAGATTGATTTCTGAACTCGAGTGGTTCCTCCTCACACCTCTCTGCCATGGCTTGGGGAACAAGTTTGCAAAAACAGCATACAGCCAAATTGGAATCTGTGGTAACAAGACCACGAAATCGACTCACAGCAGAAATCTTAGGGCGTGTTTGCTGTGCCAGTCTTGCTCATGTGATAGCTGGTAGCAGATGGTAACAGAGGCTACTAGTTCGACATGATTTCTGTTATAAATTTTACGATACTCTCTACGGACGTGTATTCGTGCCAGTGGTCTAGTGGTAGAATAGCACCATCTTCAGCCACTTCTCTCAGCTCCTGGGCCCCGAGTACTGGGATCCCACCTCTGAACAGTCCACATCGGCCCGCCTCCTAGCCTCACTCCCTATCCGCTTAGGTGGCTTCGGCATTCGCAGCTCTACATCCATCGCCCCCCTCAGTTACCTTTGCAGCTGGGCGCAGGCAGTTCCGACCCTATCCACCCACTTCATCACTGATGGTGCTCCTCTTTTCCGCCCTTACCGAGAAGAAGCGAACGAGAATGGATGAACTATGAATGAAGTGAGTATAAATATGAAACCCTAATTGGGTTGTACCCCCTATGGGATACCCCACTATAGCCTACACAAATAAGTAAGCTATAATGTTCTGACACACCCCCATAGGCAAAGTGGGGGAGAACAAGGGGTCACAAGACCAGTCAAGCAAAGCAAAGCAAAGCAAAGCTCAGGGTGGATCACAAAGTCACCACACATTCCGAGCGCAAGGTCAAGGGCCACAAGGCCAGTTCGCATGCAAGATCATATATAGAGATATACAAGAGCCAAGCAAGCAAGAGCAAGAGTATATATAGGTCAAGGTACAAGCAAGGTCAAGAAGTGAGCAAGTGAGGCAAGACAGGCACAAGACCCAGCTGCGTGCAGCAACGCTGATGATCACAAGGAGCAAGTGCCTTGGTGAAGACATCAGCAGTGTTGGCCTCAGAGGCCACGTACGCAAGTCGCAACTGTCCACGCTGCTGCAGCTCACGAGCAAGAAAGTAGCGAAGAGCAATGTGCTTTGTCCTGTGCTCCAGTCGCTGCTCTCGACACAAGGCCAGCATGGCCTTGTTGTCTACGTACAGCACTGGAGGAGAACGAGGCGGCTCTCCAAGGTCGGTCAGCAGGTAGGTGAGCCAGCGAAGCTCCTGAGCAGCCATAGCCCCGTCGTAGATCTCAGCCTCACAACTGGAGCCGAGAACAGAAGACGAGCGAGTAGCCCGCCACGAGACAGAGCCGGAACCAAGGCCGAAGGTGTAACCCTGTGACGACCGCTGCGTAGCCTGGTCGTCAGCCCAAGAAGCGTCCGCGTGCCCAGTGAGGACCACTGGACTGCGCCCTCCAAGCACTAGCCACATGCCCGACGTACTGCACAAGTAGCGCAACACCCTCTTCGCTGCAGCCATGTGCTCTGGTCGGTGTCTCCCAGGAGCAACATAGCGTGCGAGAATGCTGAGAGGGTATGCAAGGTCAGGTCGTGTGCAGGTCATCAGGTACATGAGGCAGCCAACAAGCTCTGCATACGGGCCACTCGACTCTACGGACTCATCCAAAGGCAGAGCTGAGAGCGAGTGGCGAGTAGGCAGAGGAGTGGCCTGAGGCGAGGAGTACGTGAAGCCGAAGCGCTGAAGGACCTGCTGCACCATGTGTGACTGAGTCAGGGTAATGGTGCGGCGTGCTCTGTCCCGGGTGATCTGCAAGCCAAGGTAGCTGCGCAGTTCACCCAAGTCAGTGCACGTGTGTCTCTTCTGCAGCTCGGACTTCACGTAGGCGAGTCCAGCAGTGTCCGCTGTGGCAAAGACCAAGTCGTCGACGTACACGAGGATGTAGAACGGCGGCAGAGAGGTGTCGGTGCGCAGAAACAGCGACGGGTCAGCAGTAGAAGGAGCAAACCCAAGTGCCGCAAGCGTAGTCCTCAGTGTGTCGTGCCACTCACGTGGAGCCTGGCGGAGACCGTAGACTGGACGCCGGAGACTCCACTGGGTACCAGGAGGGAAAGACCCAGTGAAGCCAGGTGGGCGACGCAGCCAGATCTCCTCGTGCAGGCTGCCCTGCAAGAAAGTTGTGCTGAAGTCGAGAGAGTGCAGCTCGTAGTCACGGTGAGCAGCAACGTGCAGCAGTACCCAAAGAGTGGTCATCTTCGGGGTGGGGGAGAAGGTCTGAAAGTAGTCAACCCCCTGCCGCTGACTGAAGCCACGAGCCACGTAATGCGCCTTGAAGACAGGCGGAGAACCCGGCGGCCGCTTCACCCTGAAAATCCACATGCCACTGACGATGTTCGCCCCGGGAGGGGGAACAGCGTCGACGTAGGTGCCTGTGGACTTCCAGGAAGCCATCTCTGCATCCATAGCTGCCTGCCACTGAGAGGAGTAGGGACCCTCTATCGCCTCCGCGTAAGAGCGCGGAGTCGGGATGTCTAGTGCATCCGGGTCTCCCTCAGGGGCTAGCAGTACAGACGCGAGATGAGGTGAAGCGGCGGCCAGACACTGGAACTCCTCCTGCCTGTCCTCAAGGACGTCCGTGCCAAGGGCACACTCACCCCCGACGGACGGAGGACAGGCAGACTCAGACTCAGCGACAAGACTAGCAGCGTAGTCTAGACGACAGCGCGCAGCAAAGTCGACGAGCTCAGTGACAAGGGCAAACGCAGCAGAAGACTCGAAAGAAGGGTCAGTGACAGCAGTAGCAAGAAGACGCGTGACAGTAGGACTGGCAGCACGAAGAGAGTCCGACTCCGGGTCGGCAAGAGCAGGAAGAGAGGAAGCAGGAGGAGAAGGCAAAGGGGCACGCAATGGAGCAGTAGACGGACGCAGAGACATCCGGTGCGTGCCAGGGACAGGAGGAGGACGCTGATGCGAACCACGACCACTAGTGTGCGCAGTACGAACAGGCGACGCAGGACGAGACGCAGGCTCACGACGCTCAGTAAGACCTCCAGTCGGACTAGCGTAGGGAGAAGGAGCAGGCAAAGGTGAGGCAGGCTGTAGCTGTGACTGTGACGAGACAGGCTGTGGACCCTCTAAGGGAGGAGGAGGAGGACTAGGAGAAGATGTAAGACCAAGAACCTGCTACAGGAGCGGAACGAAGTACGGCCGGGGCCGCGCGGCGACGCCAGAAACAGCAGGGACAGCACCAGTACCCCCAGTAGGAGTACCCGCTCCAGCAGCACCTCCAGTAGCTCCAGAACCTCCTGCAGCACCACCAGGAGCACCACCAGTCGGACCTCCGGCGGCAGTCTCAACGTCAACACCCTCAGCAGCACCAGCTCCAGGAGAACCCTCAGACCCAGGAGCTCCAGCACCCACAGTACGAGCACCGCCGGGACGCTCGGCAGCAGTACCCTCTGCAGCCGAAGAACCTCCAGCACCAGCAGCACGCCTCCAGCGCCTGGCAAACCACTCACGTAGCTCCTGAGGGGAGAGTGGCTCTCGGCGAGACGAAGCACCTCCAGGCGGAGCACCCCCAGTCTCAGCACCTCCAGGCTCAGCACCTCCAGGTGGAGTACCCCCAGGCTCAGTACCCCTAGGCACAGCACCCCCAAGCTCAGCACCTCCAGGCTCAGCACCCCCAGGCTCAGCACCCCCAGGCTCAGCACCCCCAGGCTCAGCAACCCTAGGCTCAGCACCTCCAGACTCCGCACCCCCAGGCTCAGTACCCGCAGGCGTAGCACCTCCAGTCTCAGCACCCCCAGGCTCAGCTCCCGCAGCAGCACCAGAGTCACCAGTGACCTCGACAGGCTCGACCGCGTCTACCTGGGACACACCTGAAGGGGCAGGACCCTGAGGGGGGAGGGGGTCTACCGGGGGGGGACCTGGTACCAAGAAGAGCGGGGGCGGGGGGAGGGACGTAGTGCGGTAGGGGAAGAGGCGGTAGTAGGGCACCGACTCGTCGAACGTGACGTCCTGGGAGGACAGAACACGTCAAGA